CCAGGGCCGCCGAGCAAATCAGCTGCACAGTGCGACACAATCGCCCTGGCAAGCACGTGCTCGCTGCCCGATTCCACTGCTGCCAGCAGGCACAGCAGCTGGCGTCGAGGCCACCTCGGCGGCGGCGCCGCCGCCGCCACGACGACGGCGCCACCGTTGCAACACTCCCCGCCGTCGGCCCGGTCGTATCCACCTTCAGCGCCGCCATCCGGCGTGTCGACAGGTCGCCCCGAGGTGTCAAGCAGTACGACATTGCGTACGGCACAGTCACCGCGAGTGAGGGTGCCGGTCTTGTCAAACACAATTACTCGGGCCTTATGAGCTCGCTCCAATGCGGCGCCGCCCTTGATCAGCACTCCCTGTCGCATCCGTCGCGGGGAAAGGACGAAAAGGTAAGCAGATTAAAAATAAACCAGCAGATGAAAAAACACAATTGAAAAACTAAGCAAGCAGACCGTGTGGGTTAACAGGTTTTCACGGGCCAGGAACACAAACGAAGGTAAAACCCTAAGCGAAGGACGGCGCAGAAAAAATCGCTCATACATTACATCAAAAGGAAGGACTAAGAAGATATTACCAGCTTACGTTTTTATCTGCCAATCAGTTCCCCAACAGTCCCCCGTACAATCAACCGAAACCTCCTTACCCCCCAACCCCGCGCGCACACAATCACACAACGTGCTGTTCCCGCTTCCCCAATATTCCCCAATATTCCCCAATATTCCCCAATATTCCCCAATCGTCCCCCCCCGGGTGACGCGCACCTGCTTCGCCGCTACGCCCGTCCCCACCATAACCGCCGTAGGTGTGGCTAGTCCCAGACCACACGGACACGCAATCACCACCACGCTAATGGCATGCAGCAGGGCCAGCAGCGGCGGGGAGACGCCGCGGGGAAGGGAGGACGCAGGCACCGCACCCGCAGCGGCAGCTCCCAGCCAGGCCACGAAGACCGCCAAGGAAATCAGAACGATGGTGGGTACAAAGTAGGCGGCAATCGTATCCGCCGTGGCCTGAATACGAGTAATATTTCAAATATGCAGGAATCATTGTGGGAAACATGGGTAAGGAAAATAACTTAATGGGTAAGGAAAATAACGTCTTAAAATAATCCAAACAAGAAAAGGAAACAGAGGCGGCAACCAGGTAACCTATGGCCGTACACCGACACGTGGCGCCCGTGTGAGTGAGCACGTGTGTATGTACGGCAGCACTACCTGTCACTCCGCGTCTCTGCCACTCCAACCCCACCGCGTCTCTGCCACTCCAACCCCCCCGAGTACACGCTTTCCCCACCTTTGTAATAAAACCCTCTCTGCCTTAGCATTAGCTGCAAAAACTGTAACCGCATTCAACCACTGTCGCAAGCTAATTCTCCGCAGCCTTTCCTCACCCCAATTGCTCTCCCCCTCCCCTTTCCCACACACCCCCACACACAGCTCCTACCCACCTGCACAGGTGCCTTGCTGGTTTGCGCCTCCTGCACCAACCTAGCTATTCCCGCCAGTACGGTAGAGCTACCCACGGCCGTAGCGCGCATCAAGAGCAAACCCTCACCGTTGACCGTACCACCAATCAACTGCCGTACAGGGCGAAAAAGAAGAGCGGTGAGAGGTGTGCATGTCTATGTGCGCCCGTATGTGTATGTCGATGAAAAGCGCCGTGCGAACCTATGCAGGTTACTTTGCATCTTGGGTACACGCACGTACACACTCACACACTCACATACAGTGTAATCTAAGTCATACATGCATACATACATGCATACATACATGCATACATACATGCATACATACATACACACATACATGCATACATACATAACATACATACATACATACACAGGTAAACGCTACGGCGGAGATGACTTCATTCCATCTTTCTCCACTTCCACCTGCTCTGGACAGATACCAAAATGAACGCCGTATAACTCACTGCCGTACCCCAACCGCGTTCCGCGCTCCCTCCACCGACCACACCCCTCTCACCTGTGCCCCCACCACCTTCTTCACCGGCAGGCTCTCCCCTGTCACCATGGACTCGTCCACCGCCGACCTGCCTGCCAGCACCGCCCCGTCGGTGGGAATCGACCCCCCCGGGAGCACTCGGAGAACGTCACCCACCTGGAAGACCGGTGGGAGGAGGGGTAGGGGTGTGTGCGTGTGCATGTGTGTATGACAGCGGGGGAAGAGAAGGGGAGAAACCGCAAACAAGAATCAAACAAACCACTGCCCGAGGGGAAACAGGGGGGGAATCATCTGGGGGGTGAAGAGGAAGGGCATGATGTGCGGAAAAGGGGGGAAAGACGAAGCACGTGAACGATTGAAGCTGCTGCCAGGGCAAGAGTGTACTAGACGTAGAACTGACCGGAAAAGGGGGGCCGGGTGCTGGATGAACACGCACACACGTGCAGGTAGCGCGGCACATGGGTTGGAGGGTAGGTAGGTGGGTAGGAGGATTAAGATGCGGAGGGAGAAGCAGGCATGCACAAGATGGACAGACCGACAGACGGACAGACAGGCAAACGGACTTGCAATGGTTAATCGGCAGTTTGTTCCCTTGGGTTTTGCAACGTACAATTCCGTACAACCCCAGGGACACCCCCCCTCCGCCGAAACCTTTCCTTTTACCCCACCTGTATCAACTCCACGGGAATCTCTCTCTCCGCCAACACCCTGCCAGTGGCAGGATCCAATTTCAACAAACTTGCCGTACGGGGGGCCAGTTGGAGCAGGGAGGTCACCACATCTGCCGTACGGGCCTTGGCGTTGGACTGGAGAGGTGTGCGGGGGTTGGAAAAGGAAATGCGTGTGTGTGTGCGTGTTTTGGAAAAGAGGGGTTTAGGAGGGGGCGGGGAGTATGTACGGGTGGAGAAGCATGCTTTGGGGAGATGTGGCCGGGAGGATGTGGAACATGCAACAGGTGATGATGGATGGATGGATGGATCCCGGGATGGCCAGGGAGGATGCGGACCCTTCAGGCTTCCCTTCCCACCCCTCCCTTCCCGGTCATTTCTTCCTTCCCTCCTTCCCTCCTCTCTTCAGTCCGTCACTCCCCCCTTACTCCCCCCCAACAACCAACAACCAATACCGAAAAAAAATCCAAATTCCGAAGCCCCCCGAGGAAAATTCCTTAAATTTTAAGGAACCGTACCTCCAGCCATTTGCCCATCAGCACAAAAGTAATGATGAGCGCCGACGTCTCAAAATACACCGCTCCCCCTCCCCCTCCTCCTGCTCCCCCCCCGCCTCCCCCCAGCCCTGCTGCCGCCAGCCCCAGAGACGCCAGCGAGTACCCGAACGCCGCAGAGGTGCCCAGCGCCACCAGGAGGGACATGTTGGCCGAACCGTGGCGGAGGGAGGCCAGGGCACTGTACGGCGTGTGTATTTTTGGGGAGGACATCACAAGCGAGACAACCTCAGAAATGAACCGACCGCGTCAAAAGTGTGTATTGTATTGGGAGGGGGTGTGGAAGGGGGGAAAGACGAACCATGTGAACGAGTGAAGCTGCTGCCAAGGAAAGAGTGATGCGGCAGATGCAGAGGAAGCAGAACAAGGAGGGGGGGAAAACGATGGAGCACAGCACGACTGAGAAGAAAAGGATGTACCAGAGGTCGGGGGGGAGAGAGAATGGAGGGAGGGCGCAGAGTTATACTATTCATGTTATTGGTTGGGGGTGGGGGGTGGGGGCGAGGAAAGAGGAAAGAAGGGGAATTGGGGGAACCTGCACAAAGGCGGACCTGTCGACGCTCAGAGCGCCAGCTGGGGAAGGGGGTACAAGCAGAAGGATTTATTGGGTCGGGGAAGGTGGAAGGGGGGGATGTGCAGACAGGCACGTGATAGGACAGGGCCCTCCGACAGGACAGGGGGCTCCCCACCCAGAGGTAAAACACGTAGGGTTTTTCTCTTCCCCCCCCCTTCGCCCCCCCCCCGTGCAATCCCATCCCCCCAGCTCGCCTCACCACCCCACCTTCGGTAGAACGTTGCCCCGCACACGAACTGTACGGGAGCCGCCAACAACAACTCCAATACCCACAACGCCGGCACGCGATCAAACAGCAAGAAGCCGCTCTCTGCGCGTGGTTCGGTGGGGAGGCCACCAAGCAAAGAAAGGAAGGAAAACGGGGCGAAAGAGGCGGGAAGGTGGGGTGGGGAAATATATGCGAGAAACGCAGGAATAAAAGTTAGGTGGGTAGGAGGAAAAAATAATAAAGGAAAGGGGGGGGAGACGAACCGCCGGGGGTTGAGGGGGATTTGGGGGGTTTTGGGGACCCGGGGGAAGACGAACCACGTGAACGAGTTAAGCTGATGCCAAGGAAGGTAGACTGACGCGCCATAAAAAGTTAAGTAAGAAGTAAAAGATGTAACCAAATACGCAAATGCGGGGCGGGGAAAACTATATGCTTAATAAAAACAACTGCCGCCGACCAAAAGGGAGGGAGAGGTCAAACGGCGTGCTTGCTAAGGCGGGGAGGAGGTGCTACTGCCACTGCTGCTGCAATGCTGCTGCCGTCGTTTCTTACCTAGCTCCATGAATGGCGGTAGCATGGCCGTCATGGATAGCAGTAGCAGCGGTACGGAGAAAATGCACGACAGCTGCAACTGCTGCCTCCATTTGCTAGCCTCGCGACTGGGGATTGCGGATTTTCCAGGGAGGACACGAGGGGGGTGAGAGGATGATGTGGGGTGAGGGTGGCGTGGGGTGAGGAGGGTGTTGGGGGAGAAATGAACATGGGAGGAGCGGGGTTTGGGCGGACATGACATCACATGACATGACATCGCAGAGGAAGACAGGGCATCATGATAAGAGATAGAGCATGACAGGACAGGTGAAGCAACAGAGGTGAAGCACGGCTAAAACCAGGTACACCAGGGAGGGGGGCCCCACCAGGCGACATCCTCCATCACATATACACACTCACAGACGGGCACTACTACTACCTCCATGAGGCCAAACGTAGAGGAAAAAAGCGTGTGACATGCTATATACTATAGCAGGTTCGCACAACCACAATGGCCCCTCCCCCACCGCGATTATGCACAATGCACAATGCACATGCTGCTGCTGCTGCTAGTGGTGCTGCACCAACACCCTGAACTCGACTCACACGTGCAACGCTGCCCCCGCATCGTCCTCTCCCTCCTTCCACAAAGCGGCTCCATATCCCGCCTCCTCCACCGCCTCAATAAGCTCACGAGGGCCACCTGCGAGAAAGGGGGATATGAACCACGAGTCAACAAGTCAAGAACTGCTGCCAACGCCGAAAGATGCAAAATGGGGGGAAACAGGGGGAGGGAGGGGAAGAGGAGGGACATTAGATATGCAACCAGTGAACAATAATAATAATAATAATATATTATAATAATAATAATATAATATATAATAATATCATAATATAATATATTATAATAATATAATATAATAATAATAATAATATATTATAATAAATAATAATAATAATAATAATAATAACAATAATAATATAACAGGGGTAATTGCTGTGCTGTGTATATATTTATGAGGAAATCATGTCATGCAGAAAACTGAGGGGCGAACATTAGAGGAGCATAAAAAGCAATGCGATGTTTTTTTTCAAGGAGCAATGAACTGTGTCGAAAACAGCAGCAGCTCGAGGAACCGTTTTTCTTTTCGTGAAACTCTCACCAACGACCCGTGGGTCATATTTGACCAGTGCCTGTCCCGCCAGCAGGTTGACCGACGCCTCTGTCACGCCAGCTAGTCCTCGAAGAGCTGACTCCACGGCAGCCGAACACGAGGCACAGGTCATGCCGCGAATATTAAGACGGGCGGCGCCTGCGGAAGAAGCGACAAGGGAGGGAGGGGAATCAAATGCGCGGGAAAAACCTCAAGACATGAACTGCCTGAGGTTCCCGGAAGGCGTCCAAAGTCCGAAGGAACGGCCCCTAGTGAGTGAGTGCAGCGCGATAAAGTGATGAAGAGGAGGTGAATGGTGAAGGTGGTAAAAGAGGTTAGGGTTCGTGGAAATGGGAGAAACGCATCCAACAGGGCTATAGGGGGTCCAGCTATCCCTAGTCCGTTCCCCCCCTCCCCATCTCCCCCCCCCTCTCATCGCCTGCCCCATCCAAAGGCCCGTTGGTTCCCTCATCCTCTCCCCACGCTTCCACTCTTTGCACTCTTAGCAACAGCTTCACTCGATCGTGGTTCGTCTTTTCCCCTCCCTTTCCCCCCGCACGGTTGCATCCTTCGCTTTCAGCACATGGGGGCCCCCCCAACAGAGCGGGCCTGCCCTCCTTTCCCCCCAACGGCGTCGGCAGTCCTTGTCCAGTCCAAAACTCTTTGATCCTTGCATTATCATGTCATTCCCCCCTACTGTAACCTCTCCCCCTCCCCCCAATGACACGGTGTATTTCTGACACGCACCGGGCTCCTGACCCTCCGTGGCCAGAGCTGCGTCAAATCCACAGCCCTCGATCGTGTCCACCAGGTTGGCAAGGCCCACCAAAGAAGGGTTGTACTCCACCTGCACAATTTAACGTGAAACGGCATGTACGACAAAGTAAGATTTGGAATTGGGGACGTGGCGCTTCCCACGCTTCCTCAGCCGTGCACCTCCCCCAACATCCCCACAGCGGTTACAAAAGGCACGACTCGAGAGACACACACACACACACAGACACACACACAGACACACACACACACGCACACACGCACACATGAGCGCGATCCTCAAATGACAGATATAGACACGGCCCTGCAAAAAGGACAAACACGGTGTTAAAGAAACGAGAACCGCACTTCGGAATCCTGAGATAATGTGCGACATGAAATGTTAAAAACGAACCCACGAACCTCGCCTCAACAAGTACATGCACACACACGTATTCCGCTGGTAGCCTGACAACAAAACACACACACGCTTTCCCGTACCTGGCAGCGCTCCGTCATCAGCGACACGGTCACAGACCCCACCCCCGCCAGCCGCTTCAGCTGCCCCTCCAATGCCACCACACAGGCAGCACACGTCATGCCTGTCACACGAAAATCTGCCGTACGCATAATTGGTGGTAGCGGGAGCGCCGGCGTCCCCGTTGCCGCCGAAGCCGTACGATCAGGGAAAAGGGGACCTGCCGGCGGCGGCGACGCCGCCGCCACCGATGACGGGGACCTCGACGGCGGGCCTTCAACACTGGCACGCGCAGCAGCCAGGGTGCTGGCGGCGGCCCGTTCGTACACCTCCTCCGCCGCGGCCGTAACGGTGTACGGCAGGGGGGCGACGGGAAAAAACGCGGCATCCGAACGTGGCAATTGGTGATGCTGGGACTCCGGTGAGGATGTGGTACTGCAAAACAAGGAGGGGGTCCATGGCTTGGATTACGTCGTAGGCGGTGTCATTTGCGACACGTACGGCAACATACTTCCACAAATAGTGCCGTACATCGACTTCGCGGAGGAGGACGGACTTTCGGGACGATCGTGTTTGCAACCCCCAACTACCACCGCTCCCCCACTGGAGGTGGACTCTTTTCCAGGTGGGCTCTTTTCCACGACACGAAATTCACCCTGTAAAAGAAAGCTTTGGGGGGGGGGGGAGTAAATAAATGCTCTCCCCGAACCTCATCCCCCCAACCTCACCAACCTCTTCCGGCATGCTTTTTTGTGAGTGCTTCGGGCATCGTCAGCTCGCTCTTTGCTACGTATGCTTCATTTTTTGCTTCATTTCCCCTTTTCCCAACCCAACTAAAACACACCAAGATGCGCACGCACACAGACACATCGACGGGAAATTCCACCATCGTCAGTCGTGCTTCACATGGAGCGAAGGAATCGCCATTTTTCGTCGCGACCTGTGATCCTGTGGGTTACATGGCACACACTCCCGCACTGACATCGCACACACTCCCGCACTCACAGTCCAGTGGCAGTTGGCTGCGGCGTGATGTTGGGGGTTCCCCGGGGCGTCCCCCAGGGGGTAGCTCCCGGGGGGGCTCCGGGACCAAAACCCATCCGTGTCAGCAACGCCCCAATGGCGGAACGGAGGGGCTTGCTGGCGGCCGCGGCCGCGGCAGCACCAGCTGCGGCCGCGACCGGCGCCGCCTCCGCGCCTTCGCCAGCGGCACCGCACGTCCCCGCTGCCGGCGGCCGCGCCCACACCTCCACGACGCCGCTGCGCTGGTCGACCTGCGTCGTACATCGTACATCGGCGTCATAGGATAATCACGGACTGCATGCAGCGCTGAGTTTTGTACATGCCAGGATTAAACGCTGCAAAACCGCCATCCTTGAAAATATCCAACTTGTTGAAATCCTCTTCAGATAGTCTCCACTACCACCATCCATGCCAAAGTACTCCCTCTCACCACACACTCACCACGCACCTCACCACTTTCCCACCCCTCGGTGGCGAGGTTCGTGGGTTTCCCTCCGTACCTTTACCTCCGCCACACCGAGCGCCTTCGCTTCGACCAACAACTGCTGTGCAAGACTGCGCCGCCGAGCCAACGCTTCCCTCGCTTCCGCCGCTGCCGTCGCGGCGGCAGCAACCGGGTGAGCGGCGGCGGCGGCGGCTGTTGCCAAGTCCCCGGCGACGGCGGCGGCGGTGGCTGCGGCGGGTGCTCCCGGAGAACGCCACAGCGCGGGCGAGGCGGCGGCTGAGTATTTGAAGGTAAATGCGGGGGCTTGCCAGGGGCCTCCTGGTACGGAAGACGCCTGCGGAAGTGCATGATTGTAATAAAAAAAAGCCCCGTCTTCACACCAAGCTGTGGTTTATTCTATGCTTCCTGCATATAACTTTCGCCGTATCAGAAAAGTTTGGAGGCATATGTATTGTCTGAGGGGGAGGGCTGGTTAAGGAAGTCAACACAAGGCTGTGACCCTGGGGAAAGGTCCTGCGGGCTAGGGCTCATCACTTCACCTACGTACCTTGGCCAGCTGCTCTGGAGCGTTGCATGCGCAATCATTGCAGTCACAGCGGCACAGCTCAAAGAACTCATCCGGGTTAACTGCCGGGTCGTAAGCGCTGAGGCGCAAAGTGACGGTCCCGCAGCGACATGTGCCGCCCTCGACGCATCCGCATCCGCAACAAGAAGCAGCAGGCCGCGCGGTTGCTGTAGAGGTACCCGGCGATCGGGGTCCTTGATCGTTTGGGCCGCTGTCACCGGTTTCGGGGAGTTGGTTGTCCCAGGCTGAAGGCCCATCGCAGCTCTTGCGCGCGACGGCGAGGCTGCTGCAGCATCCTGACTTCAGGGTCTGGTCAAGCTCCCCGAAATGACTGCTAGATGGCCGTTTTGATGTAACTTGCCCGCGTCCTGTGGTCTCGTTAACAGCAGGCGCGGAGTTAGGCAACGGCTGGGTAGCCGATGGCAACGTGTCGCTCACAAAGTCATCCATTGTCCTAGAAGCCAGGGTTCGTCAAAAGTTGAAGATATCATGCCGGTGAGCAGAAACGTTTGGGGTGAGAAGGTTCCATACCCTCAACGTAAGACAAATGACTCCTATGATATGCAGAGGCGGGCCCTGTATTAATATAAAATTGTTTATGTGGGCAGCTATTGATGTACATGGTCGTCTAAAACATGCACAAATACGGTACTAAAGCAAACCCCGGAAAGGACATTCCGGCTGCGTTAGATGCGTTCAAGGCCGTTTCTTGACTCGCTTATGCACAGGTTTTTACTTGTACAGACAAATCATTGACACCGCAACGTTTCGTCACAGCCTTACCTGAGGCATTTCAATTTGATATTCTTCCAGTCACAGTCCTTGCCCACGGCTACACATCTACACAGCACAAGCGTGTTGCAAAATTGACTGATTATGGATGCTCCAGCAAACCTGCCTGAACTCGTGAGCGAGTTTGCAGCTATCACTGGGGCTTCACCTCTTGTCGCAGATCACTATCTTTCAGCGTGCAATTATGATTTGAACAGATCTATAGAATTTTACTTCGAGCATCCACCTGCACCAAGCCAAGCGGGCCCAAGGGCAGGGAGCGCCATCGATGAGGATGTCGCAGCGATGGCCGCACACGGACAAGAAGCGGATATTGCGGGCAGGACATTTGCTCGAGGTGGACCAGACTTGGCGGGACCGGAGGCTGCGGACGATGACGAGGAGCTACAGCGCGCCTTGGCAGCCTCCATGGCAGAAGCAGGAGCTGGTACGCACAGGCGAAACCGTTTGATGCTGTTCCTCTTCCCGGGAGCTTGAGGGGATTTCCGCGGGCGTCACCAAATCCAGAGGTGGCGATGTGGCTAGTGATGCACTTCACAGGCCATCAGTTATTGTTGTGAAGCGGCGCGCAATACAGGACCCGCAACCGTGGCGCAACGGCAAGGAGAGCCTCTCCCTTTGGTCATTTTGCATTTATCGTGTTTTAAACGGCGTTGTATTACATGGGATATAGTTACGATATGAGTTGAGTTGCGTGTGACCCGCGCATAGGCGAGGCCGTGTCAGTCCTCCTGGCAGGGTCGATTACCCGCACTTCATTGCAGCCGCCTTCTTCCCCGGTCTGCGCCGACCATTGCCCGTACCGAGGCATACCATCTTCCCTCCTCGTACGAGCTCCACTTAACCTCCCCTTTCCCTTTTCCGTGTTCAATGTCTCAGGACCTAGACACGGCGGCCCGGGGTTAGGCGGCTCGCGACCCGCGGGTCGGTCGGCACAACGGCGAGACGAGGTAAGGACGTTGAGATGGGGGTGCTATGGCGTAGGTTCATGGTTGGTGTTTGCAAGTTGCATTGCCCGTTGACCCTCAAGGGTTTACTCGTTTGATTATTTGGGGGATTTTGCCGGTAAAGAAGTTAATGAAAATGGGTTACCATGTTCTCTGTTATCGCTTTATGAGGGAGGGAGGGAGGGAGGGAGGGAGGGAGGGATGAGTGTCTCTTGACATCATCGGGCTAAGGCAGGCAACACAACCGCCGCGGCAACTGCAACTGCAGCGGCAACTGACACAACAACTGCAACCGCTACGTTCTCGTTGTGTCCGACATGATCGGGGTGCGCGTTGTCACCGTAGCTCCATAGCGCAGGAATGAACGCATTGGATACAGCGTAATGAGTGGAGTTTTCAATTGGACATGTGTGGCATGGGTTTTATGAGCAGGAGGGAGTGTGGGCGTTGGCAAGGATCTTGCAACGGGGGGGACGTTGCTTAGCACACGCTTGCAACAGCATGCGCAAATGCAGTGCAGATGAGCTTATGTTGTGGATGTCTTGCCGGGCGGTCCCTGTGTTACCCCAAGAAGCCTAACCCTTCCGGGGCGTGATCTGACCCTCACTCCTGACCCGACGTGACGGGCCCCAGGACGTCCAGGTGATTGATGACGAGGAGGAGGACGAGGAGGAGCTGCCCGGGGCGGAGGAGCTGCTGGAGGCGTTGGCAAGACAGGGGGAGGCGTCCAGGGCGGCAGATAGGGAGGCGAGGGAGCAAATGGAAGGTGGGCGTTGCAATGAAATGAGCGGCCGGCTGTACGTACGTGCGTGTGGTGGAGGAGGGGCAGGGTCGGTCGTGCATGTACGGGTATGGGAATGCATGTGAATGGGGGGTTGTTGGATGGGTGAGAGGATTGCGGATGAGGTGGCAGATCTGGACACTGATCTGAGGCGCGACGAGATTTGGTCAGTAGGGTAGCGTTAGCGTGAGAGCCAAGCTGGTTGGCTGGGTTGCAGTTTGGCAGGAGGGGTGGTTGATTGGCAGGCTAGCCACGGCTAGGATTGAAAGCTTACAGCTGGCGCAAAGGTGGTATCGGGAAGAGCCTGTTTGGCTAGCTGGCGGTCTTGTAGCGGGCGGGTGGGCGGCCCACATAAAAATGCCATTTCCCCACTCATCTATGACCAGTATGATCAACCCCTTCCTCACGGCGACCTACGCCAAGTCTGTTCAAAAGTTGTTATGTTCATGCGCCGGTGCAGTCGCCGGATGTTACTGAACCTTCTTGAAAGCGGTTTTCTACCTGCATGCCGCTACGATACCCTCATTCCTACACCATCATATGTATACATTATAATTATATATAAGGGGATTATGTAGAGGGATTATATATAAGGATTGTGTATAATTCCTCCTTACGGCTGCTTTTGTCCCCACCGTCGCAACCATCATTTATCCCTGCCGCTGCTGGGACACCCAACCAACCACCAACCACCAACCGACCGACTGACAACCAAGCAGAGGTAATGGACCGCATGTTGGCGGGTCTCACGGGTCGGTCAGCAGGGGCTCTGGGTATGCCCCCTCCCGGCTACCCCCCTGCCTCAACGGCGGCCGACCCGCTGCTGGGAATACCCAGCATCTTTCCTGGCATGTCACCTTTATTGCAGCCGCCACTAGGTGAGTATGAGGAAATGTAGGAGAGCGCCTTTCCTTCTTTTCGTATTTCCGTCTTTACGTATTTCCTATGACACGCGTGTGCCCCCGTGCTGCGCTACTCGTCACGGTCCGCCTCCCTGCCTCCCCCTCGCGCGGGGTGTGTGTGTGTCGTTGCTGGCCCCTAGCTACGCGCTCGCTTTTCCCGCGCTCCTCAAGATGAAAGAGTGGCAGGCAGTTAGTTGCATCATCCCTTCAGTGATTTGGGCGTCGGCCATCGACCCTTTCCTTAATCTCTCTCTATTATGCGCGCGTGCGCTCCATAGTTTTGTTCATTGATAATTGTAGATAGAGTGTTGCAGGGGTCCCAGGATTCTCCTCGTATGTATTCACCCCCACGCCCATATGCGCTGGCCTGCCTGCATTTGATTCTATTGATACCGTCCGCATGTGCTTGCTCTTGCCTGGCACTCCCATGACAAGAAGGGTTTAAACTTCCAAAACGACATACCGTGTTCGTGTTTTCATGCACACACGCACACACGCATACGCACACACAGACATACACACATGGACATGCCCGCGCGGCTCATTGCGATCAGGCTTTCCGGTCTTTCCCGGCGGACCCGCGGGTCGCGTCGGACAGTGGCGTGACGAAGGCGGCGGCGGCGGCGGCGGCGGCGGCAGGGGCAGCAGGTCTCAGGAAGGTGGCGCGAGAGCGCGGGATGGCAGCGGCGGAGGCGGGCCGGGAGGTGCGGGGCAGGCGCAGCGGCGCCGGATTGAGGTTCGACAGGAGGGTGCAAGAGGAGGAGGAGGAGGAGGAGGAGGAGGAGGCGCCACCGCTGGCGTGAGCGGTCGTGGCGAGCGGGGTGGGATCGTTATCGACGAGGATGAGTTGGAGCTTCCAGAAGGTGCGGTGCCAAGCATTTTATTCCTCTCGTCATGGAAATGATGACACACATTTTCATCATGCGGTTATGCCTTGGAAAGGGAAGGAGAGGATGACAAGACGAGAAAAGATAATAATACTTATTACATTATTGTGTACTGGGAGGAATTTCTTCCTTGTCTTCCGGGGATGCGAAAGAAAAGGATGCTGCACCAAAGAAGAAAAAACAAAAAGGACCAAAGTATATATACACACACACACTTAAGGCCCTTTTTCTCGCCATCCCTCATGTTTGTGAGTTCCAGGCATCAGCCGCCACGAGCTGGAGGAGGCTCGGATGATGGAGGCCGCGCTGCTGGGAGTGCCGTACGAGGGACGAGCACTTCATGACCTGGCGACGGGCTTTCGTGCTGGTGGTGGCGGATTGGACGAGCGGGAGGTGGCTCCCGAGTTACTGGAACATCGAGAGCTGCGGTGGGATCAGGACAGGGCGTATGAGGAGTCCTTGGCTGCTGACAGGTAGGGGGTGTGGGTGGGTGATGGAGTGGCGCGAGCGGGGCTAAAGATGGGTTGCCTGTAATGGTATTATGGTAATATTGGCGAACAGTCGTAGGCCCGCGTGGTGGGAACGAGGAAAAGGAAATACGCCGTGTCGGGCAAGGCTCTGAAACCGCGCATGTTTACACGGGTTTTGGGGAGAGGGTAAAGAGTGGGATAGATTTGGATAGAGAGGGTGTACGGCTTCGGCGTTCAGGGCCTTACCTGCGAGGAGAGATGTAATGTGTGTGTGGAGGGGGTATTGTGGGGGCATACTTTCTAGGTAGAAGGGTAGAGGGGTAAGGGTAGAGGGGTAAGGGTAGAGGGGTAAGAGATTATTACCGGAGCCCAGGGGTTCCTGGATGGGTTGCGGTGGTGGGGGCAGGGGTCGTAATGTGGGGCACTTTCGTTCGCCACCTTGTTCACCACCTCCTCTTCTATTTGCATGCCATTGTGGATAACCCGGGGCGATACCCGGGGATCATCCGGATCACCCGCGGGACTCTTGACCTCACTTAACTCGCCACCGCCGAATCGGCTCTTCGGCTGCCACGCAGGGCTAAGGAGCAGGCGGCTGCGCGGGCAAAGGCGGAGGCGGAGGCGCGTGAACGTGCACAACGGGAGGTGTGGAAGGCCGGGAGGAAGGGAGG